CCTGGGTTGGGTCATCTCTGGGATATATTGCTTCAATGAAAACATTGGCAGTTTCTTCAAGGGTGGTTGCCTCAGTATTATGATACCGCAAGGCTGCAATAGTCTGCATCGGGGACAACTTACCCAATGCTACCCTATACGGAATACCCCAGGGATTCTTCGAAGACTCTTCAATGATGAAATCATCCCAAGACTTCCGCTTTTGTGAGCGAACCTCGTTTCGGTATATCCTGGCTTTTGACTTGTACTCATTGCGAAGTACAGTGCGCCTCTCTTCGCATCTGCACCTCTGATATGACCGCCGGGCCTTGTAGAGGTCTCGTTTTAGAACAGTTAAGGCTGGCGTCCACCATGGGACAGGTCGAACCCTCGCCTTCCGGTGCTTGAGGGAGTGTTCGGCAGCATCACGAATGTTGTTGGTAATCCTGGACACCTTGTAGTCCAGATTGTCAACTACATCCATCTCTGCCGCTTCCCACTCCTCGTCTGCAATCACTCCTTCCAGGTAGGACCTGAAGACACTCCAGTCATTTATTTTAGTGACGAAACCCTTATCAGTACCGTGGGAACATATGTACCTTATGTATCAGATTTGGCCCAATATCTATTCTTCCATAATAAACTTCATAACCATCCCAACCCTCTTGTTTCTAACCTTGCTTCCTATTCAATTCCTGATAACCCTCCGATGCGTCTGAAAAGAAGATGGTCACGTGATCTCCTAATATGGACATATTATTAGTGTGCTACCTATGGGTAGTTTCTCAACATGCGTTTCATGCCATTATATCCATGTGCGAATTTACTAGATGTATTTTTTTTATACCGTTGTAAATATCATATAAATAAATTTTAAAAAATTCCTGGTCATTAATTGAAGACACAATTCCAACACACGCAATATAAACAATGTAAATTCCATATTGTTGTTATACTTCTACCTATATATAATCCTTCGTGAGAGATGATAGGTCTAGATTGAGAACCTAGTTCGGACCTATCCAAAATAATGCTGGTCATCGGAAGCATGGTGATCCCTTCATCGGCAACGAGATAGCCATCGACTGTTGGTCTTGTGCTGGAAGGGCGAGCGAGCTCCGAGCTCCAGGCACACTCACACTCAGGCAGCCAATGACAGATAGAGATTAGAAGCCAATTAATAATGTTGAGGAGATAGGATCGATGCTGAAAGGAAAGTGATTAACAGTAGCCCAGGGTGATAATTCTACCCGGCCATCTAGATAGCCGTGTCTCCCATCCCATCGCTTAACATCTTCTTAAGGAGTCTTCCGTTTAAATTGGTTAGTGGGGCGGAGTCACGCCAGTTAGTTTAGTAAACAACTACAAGGGAGGCTGAAATAACAACTTTTAAATCATTATATTTTTTTTTCTATCATATCATTCCTTTATTGCTAAACATTTTGTTTTCGAAAATCTTTGATGAAGATCTAAATTAAGAGGTCCATGATTTGTTGTGACATTTCCTATTTCTATCACAGGGGTGCTTGTCTCTCCAAGGTCGATGGCGTATACCTTTTTCCCAAAACATTTATATCTTTGCCTGGAAACAGTACAAGCAATGGAAGCAATAGAATTGTAAAATTTAAATCCAATTGCCCTTTTGTTGTTTGTTTAATATATTTTTTTTTAATTTTCCCTAGATTGAAAAAATTAAAAACCCATAAAAATGCGAACTTCTTCTGGCTTATACTTGTTCTATCTCATTATAAGTATTCATAATAAGGTTTATTTGACCTGAAAATACAACTCCAATATTAACAACAATAACAAACATTTATTTTCATAGAACTCCTTCAAAAGAGAAAACTAAAAAGTCTAGTATAACCACAATCTCTCCCAGTTTCAACTATTTTAATTTTTTTCACTAATCATTCTTGATTCAAACGAAAAAATATATATATTCAGGACCATTGAAAGTATCGTTGACTCTTTTATTATGTTAAAGTTACTCGATTCCGTACAATGGGATCCTAAAGAAGTGGTTGGTTGTTTAACGTAAAAGACAACTTATTCGTAAAGAACATTGGAAAATAAAATCATCTTATAAATTTTGACTCTCGGATTTCACCTTGTCTTTTGTCCAGCATTTGGGCATTGTAGTCCATTTAGTCAACTCCTGACGAATACCCTGAGGTCTTCACCGCGTACATACCTGAGTGGGAATGTCCAGTTTCATTTCCCGGGGCCGCGGAGAAATAAATATTAACAGATCCAGGTGGGAATCGAACCTACAACGTTCAGTACCGATCACTTTGTACTCACTGTCTAAGTGGTTTTATGACAGATTCAATCGTACTCCTCTTCATTAATTCATTTTATTGTTGTACATTCATATCCCTCAAACTTCGTTAGATATATATTCCTTAAATATTCTCCCTCTTACATCTAAAACCTAAAATCAGTCAAAACGCCATTTTTCTCGTTAGAACTAGTTTTATAATAGCTTCTTTGTTTAATACAAGCATTAATATGGTATTACTAGCATCAACAATTTCTATTAGTTAATACTAGTTTCCACTTTATCTTTTTGGAGTTAAAACAAGTTCTGACCTACTGAATGAAATTTCATACAATCTGATACTACAATTGATTATTTATAACAAGGATATCTGTTTGTGTTTTTGAAAACAAAAGAGGCAAAACAGGATTTTGGTTAAAACCTTGAAACCAAAAATAAAGATGAAAAAAAGAGAATTAAACTCCAGTAAGAAAATTTTATAAAATATATTTTTATTTTATATTTGCTTTTGCAAGAAAAACAGTTATGAAATTAGAGTTGCAGTGCATGCCTATCCATTTCCATAAATACTTGATGGTAATGTATACGTGCTCGCAAACATAGTGTATAAGTTCAAACTGCTACCACTATTAGTGTAGCAATGCTGTATAGGTCTGCATGCGCAGAACTAATTTTAATTGACTCGTTTGAGTAATAGCTGACAGAAAAAAACAACACGCATTCCGTTGATTCTAGTTTTCTCTATCAGTTAATTCTAGTATTACCAAGTAGATACTAGTATTAACGAATGTTCTGTGATAGAACAAGGTTGTTGTTTCGAATATTTACAGATTTTGGGTTTTAACAGACGATATTTTTCTTTTGTTGGATTGAATATTTCAGGGAATACTTCCTAAACCAGGGAAACTAGAGCGGACGAAATACTTCTTACCTGTCTCAAGTCTGGGTCCCAGTAGTTCACTTTTGTGGTAAATTCGTGGTTAGTTAGAAGTCTTTATTTTTTTCTAAAATGAAAAAATAACTCAATTATAATTTAAAAAACAAATACCTGGATTCATATTTCCGATATTACTTTATGAATTAGCAGGTGTCTGGAATTTCATTTATGGAAATTCATCTGTATTAGAATAATAGCATCCGAGGTTTCTGAGATATTAATTAGCCTGGAACCAATTTGTTATTAAATAAAAATCGTTACTGTTTGAAAAGTGGTATCTTATGCATGAGGAAGGATAGTGCCCAGCAGCACCTCTTTCCTGGTCATTATTTACTTCCTTAATTCAGGAAAGAAGAATCTCATCATCCAACTCCTTTTCAGTCGCCTTCTGATTGGCATGCCAGCACCGGTGTCCGTGTAGTTTAATATGAAATTGGGAATAATAATGAATAATGAAAAATTGGTGTCGGTATGAAAGTTCTGCTTTTGTCTGATTTTCAATTTTGATTTAGAAAAAAAGTGAGTATAGGACTTTCAGTCGCTTGTTTAAAGTCATTATTTCCATTTTGTAATGTGAAATTATGGTGTTGTGTTAATATTGTTGTATCATCATTGTAAGGTAGCAGTCAATGTTTCGGAGTTGCTAGGTATGGCATACATATATATAATGTAGAGGAAAAGAGGCAGTATTGATTCTTGAGGTACTCCTGCCGACGCTTGTCTAATTGAAGAAGTTTCTAACCCCTGTCGGAAATAAAAAAAATTGTCAAAAAGCAAATATTTGATAATGAGATAGTTGGTGTGGCGTAGTTGAGTTTTGATATTAAAGCCGAACTATATTAAACAAACTATATTAAATTAATTATTAAATTCAACAACACTCCAGTTACGTAAAACTTGCAGGCGCATGAGAAAATATAAACGACAATGAAAATAAAAATTAATTTAAAATTTTATTAATGTTTGAAACCAACATGTCTACAAATTTCAATAAGCTTTATTTTCGCTAAGAATTTAGTAATTTTTTAAATAATCATGGACATATCAAGGAAAAGATGTGTAATTTTTGAGTTATTCGCAAATAAAGTTTTTTTTCTTTCATTACTTTTATGCCTGAATTTCGGGATGACTGGACTATTTTCCTGCCAGAAGGAGAAGGAAACCTTAAAAATTGGTGGCTCAATCTTGGGATTTGATGAAGAATTAACGATGATCGATTCAATGATTAACTCAAGTCGACGAAATGAGACATCTATTCCATGACAGTGCTACAATTAACGTAAGGTTGTGTGGATGCGAACCCTTTTCCTTGCATTATCTCGAAGATAGTACGTTTTGGGGCTTAAGAACGCAGGGCCCGATAGTTCCGAAGAAACTATCCGGGTCTTGGTGTACGCATCAAAATCTTCAAAGCCCAATTTGTCCTGTATCGATTTACAGACTTACCACCGTTTCAATATTGAAGCCTAGAAAAATGTTTGTATCGACTTTATTTATTTTAGAAAGAAAAACAAAAACGGAAAGTACGATTCGCTACTCCGCTGTGTAATTCGGAATCCAGCGGTACCCCATGGTATTTGAGCATGACAGGAGCTTATGTTTGGTACAAAACCGATTTCGAGCCTTACTGTAATAATATATTTGGGGATTACTGACAAAATATTTAAAGTACTAGAGCAAACATAGTGTGGAGTCAAGAGCTTTTCTGGTTATTATCCAAGACAATTTAATGAAAAGTTTGATACATGAGATCATCCGTGTAAGGTAAATAATTTTGTTAATTATTTAATTTTTTTTTTTTAGACATTGTAACTCTTGGCCGATTATGAGACCCGGAGGCGATATTAAAGAGGCGGGCCCGATAGAACTCTGGAACGGGAGCAGCCAGCGGTGGACACCTAACGCTTAACGCTTACACAACACAACGGGGGACCCGCATTTCCATATTAATTAAATATTTCGGACCTAACGCTTAGCTCGGAGATCTTTATCTTCTGTCTCTCCTGGGGTCATTACCTTCCCCAGTTCTATCATCGTCTGCCCCCCGAGAACCGAGAGAAATTCTGTGAACGAAAAAAAGAAAAAAAACTACAGCAAAGAATGAAACATTTAGAAAAAACATTATACTGATTGGCCCCTCATGGAAATGAGCTTGTTGGGAAGCAATAAAGGCACCCGAGATTAGGGACATTATTCAAAAATAAAGAAGACTAATGCCGGCTTCGTTTTATTGACTTATTTTGTCAAAATTAATAAATCATTAATTCACTCCTATATAGGGGCGCATAAATAAAAGGGGCCCTTTATTGCCTATCGCATGTCGCACCCACATTATTGTATTAACTAACTATAAATTTGTCAAAAAATAAAGGAGGCACTATATCCAAGCCCCAACATAAATAATTACGCTGCCTAATATAGCTATACGTTCCCTATAGGTGTCGCCTAAAAGACTTCATCTTTTCATTAATCATTTCCACCCTCTTGTCAGCCAATAAATGATTTATATTTACTACTGTAATAAAAGTCTATAATTTATTAAATCACCATAAATAAGATGAGAGTCGAAAATTTATTTGTTAGCAAGGAGTATTATTTCAAAACGATTAACGGTCCACTCTTTATTATGAGCTTGTCATCATAAATGACAAATGTATTTTCACTTTCTGACAATAATTATATAAAACAATTCTTCTTTAAACTTAACAATTTTTCGACTTTTTTTTCAATATTAGGTCGAAACTTATTTCGTGGTGTGTGGCCACGGAATGAATCTCGACCTTCCTACTCCAGTTAAAATAGATTTGGTTGATCCTCTAGTAAAGGTGTCTTCAAAATACTGCTATCGAGCAGCTCCAATCTGGCTTGCGGTAGTTTCTGGATTACCCTTTAAAATTTAAAAAAAATATGATAGTTCTTAAACTACTCAAAACATAAGGAGCTTTTATTGTGTTTTCCCCCACCTCTCCCTCGCCATTCGGGCTGTGAGGTTAAAACCCAGCTTTTAAAAAACGGCAGAGTTAAAAGTCCCCCGACACTGGGACGCGAACTCTTAAATATTTTATTATATAAATTTCGGTTCATCTGGCTGTCGGGCAACGCTTGTTATGAACACGCGTTAGCCCACTCGTCCACCACGTCCCTAATCTTTTCTCTTAGGAAACTCATCATAACTGAAATGACATTTATAGAACAAGTTTTTTTTTGTTTTGTCCTATAAGAGTAGGCTCTATAAAAACCTTCCATTCCATGCAGGAAATGAGTACGTATAGTTAAACGAAAAAAAATTATTATATTGAACACAATGCTGAATGATTGCGCGAATGGATTTGTTCCAAAACATCGTCTGATTGCTACTACTCAAAACTGGTAGATTTCTAGATTAGAACTAATTGTTGTTCAAAAACATGTGAAATATTAACTAGTAATTGGAAATTAAAACTAGTTCATTACAGATTCGCAAAACTAAAATTATTGGTTCGACTCACTATTCGTGCAGAAGCGCGGTATATCGCAACTAATAGAAGTAGTGATAATTAGGGAAACACATTAGGGAATATGTTTGAATATTTAGATTTACGTATTTGGTGGATACAAAGTCTAAAAGAAAAATAATTCAACAATAATTAAAAGCAGAAAATACTTTCTATTTTTCTGTAGTAGAATCTACACCATTATAGATATAAACTATCTGTAAGGTGCCATGCATCCAGTAATTACAGTGCTAAGAATAGTTTTATAAAGCAGCATTGATTGAAATAGGTGTATAAAGAGGGGAGCGTGTCGTTGTCCTCATAATAGTTCTAGATAAATTCTAGATAAATTTGAGAAAATAGGCCTAGATATGGGAACATGTGCAATCACCGATACGCGAACTCTTAAATATTTTATCATATAAATTTCGGTTCATCTGGCTGTCGGGTAACGCTTGTTATGAACACGCGTTATTAGCCCGCTCGTCCACCACATCCCTAATTGTTTCTCTTAGGAAACTCATCATAACTGAAATGGCATTTATAGAACAAGTTTTTTTTTTTTTTATGTTATAAGAGTAGGCTCTATAACAACCTGCCATTCCTTGTAAGAAATGAGTACCTATGGTAAAACTAATTTAGGTAAAACGAAAATAGGCCTAGATACGGGATCGCAGAACATGTGCAAAGAGAGTCAAGGTGAAGGCTTATCACAGTAACCTTGATGGGGGGGGGGGGAGGGGAGCAATGCCCGAGCACCTGATATTCGGGGGCGACGCAGAGGACTCGATCATCGCTTCCTCATCACGACCGGCATAGATCATCCTGAGCCAGGGGTTTATTTTGCTTTCATCATCCCAATAACACGCCCCCTCCTCTTTAAATAACAATTTAAATCTGTTTCCAACGATTTAAATATTTCAGGTAGGGAAGAAAAAGGAAAACAGACAGCTCGTGAGGTCGGTATTTACAAAAAAAAATAAAAATAAATCCGGACGGGAACAGATGGTGCGCAAATAAAAAGATCGTCAGTTGTTGGTACTATTGAGGATCGGGTTGGGCGATAGGATTTTTATCACTTGTGCCAAGTCACCGAAGAGATTAAATTGTACAGGGGTCATGTTTGGCCTTGAGGGGCGTGTTGGAGAATTTGAAATGGGGCTTTCAGCGCGCCTTGCGTAACTCCTCCCGCCCTTATCAGATCTATCGGGGACCTTCGGGATCGCGGCGAAATAGAAATAGAAAGTTATATTGCAAACGCAATTCAGATACTTTGACAAGATATATGTCTATTAATATATGTCTTAATATGTCTATTTTCATCTTATTCAGAGCCATTAAGTTTTGATAATGGGAGGAGAGTAAATCTCAACCTTTGATTTGTACATGAGAAGGGGTCTATTAAGAAAATTTGGATTTCATATTGCCAGTGCTGTTTACGGTGTTTTACAAAAAAATTTTTGTATCAGTTTTTTGATTATATATCCCACAACGTTTTCTATTGTCCACAAGATCTTTGAAAACTAAGCATACGTTATTAGACAAAACAATGTCTCTAGTATTTAATAATTTTTTTATTCCTTTCTGAATCTGGAGGTTAAATACATGTTCATGGAAGTTAATGGCGTGAGATATGTTTTGGTATAAATTTGGAATTTTATGTTTACAGGACAACTTCTATAGTGAAGCTTATAAGACCATAAGCATTTCTTTACTATCTTACAAAAAAAATAATAATAATCACCAATAGTTCTTGAAACTTTGGTCCAACTCTTCTTTTGATTCCTTTCCAGATTATCTTATTCGATCAGTCGGGACAGGACTAAAGGTGGAAAGGACTTAAGATGTAGAAGGGAAGCATGGAAATACAGATGTAGGACGGGTAGAGCCACTTTAACTCGGTGTAATACGACACTATTTGCGAATCTCTGACGATCCCGAAAGTTTTATCAAAGCAGTTTGTCATACGTTTAAGGCTTGTTCCTATTTCGACTGAGAGTCCGGAAGTGTTTCAGATAGCCAAGTCCAAATTCAAAGTAGGAAGAAATAAGTAGAATTTTCGACTAAGAGGTGGTTGGTCCCAATAAAGACTTAAAACACTGAGGCTGATTACCCTACTTATAACTCTTTAATTCCGCACATTCCCAAAGATATCCTTTTATAATTGATTAATTATAATTATTTCCCGGTCCGTTTATACCCGCATTTCTTACGCTTCCAATCCTTGGTAGTTGTTCGCATTTCTTCCTATTTACCACATTAGGATCTACCCGATACTACTATCAGTTCATGTTCTTAAGATACAGCTATGCCAATAAGCCAAGAAGTTACAGTATAACCAAAATATCCACCTGTCGTGTAGACTTGAATGACAAAAAAAAAAAGCCGAAGGTATTTGTAGTTGGAAGCCAGGGCATTCGGTTCCCCGGCGGTAAGTGGGGTAATGCCTCGTTATCCGTGTCAGCTATCGCGGCTCCAATGAGGGGCGGCGTTTTTTATATTCGGTTCTCACTTTGTTCTTTTTATAACTCTCCACTTTTTTCAAGCCGGATCGCGTTGAACACTTGTCCGTGTGGTTTTGTGTTTTATTAATTTTTTCCCGCTGAGCTGCCTAAGCTGCGATACCCCAAATGGTAGACAAAAAAGAAACCTTAGGATTACGGGAGAGGCACTCGTAATAATGCCTTGGTAATGGGCTTTACCTGTCAGTGATGTGGGCTCGGTGATAACTGGACATCACTGGACCGTCCGCCTTCTCCAGGAGGTCTCGGCTTCTGGGAGTCTTCCACAGTTCTGGAGGGTCGTCCACAGTGACGCTTCTCTCCAACGAAATGTACTTCTTTTTTTTTATTTCCTTTTGAAAGCCCAAATTAGAGACTTAATAAAGAGTAATTATACATTTGGTTATATATTATTTCTTTATGAAACATTGCAACAGGTTGGACATTAAATAAAAATATGATTGTCACACATTAGAAACACTCTATATACAGTCTCTATACTTGTAAATGGAGACTATTTAAGCTACTCATTAAAATAATCCAAATAATTCTTATGAATATTTACTATCCCAAAGATACAAACAGGAGTAAACTATTCCCTCAAGATCGATGACGCATGAACCTTATCCCCTTCTCTAGATATTTAATTGCAAGCGAAAGTAGAATATAAAAAATCATAGATCATACACAATTGCACTGCGGTCTGTTCCATGTTTTTTTTCTTGTTCCCAGGTTTGAAATTCTTCGTTCCGAAAATACATAACAGAAAAATGTACCCTCTCAAAAATTCAAAATATTGCCAAATAATATCTCAAATAATTTTATGGCACAACTTGCGTCTAGTTGTAAACCCCTTTTTGGGCACTCCTGGATACAAGAACGTAATAGTGATAAAAAAAATACATATATTTTTTTAAAGATCAAACATAGAAAAT